GCCCAAAGTATACGTGATACGGATAGTTGTGAGCCTTCTCCGTTATCAGGGCAGTGACAGGTGGCACAGCTGGTGGTGCCAAGGTACTTCCTTCTCCCTGCCCCGAATATGAGTGTATCAGAGGGAGGTCGCTGGGCAGGAGCAGATAAAATCAACAGGATTATCCCCCAAATGGGCTGAGCACAGTACTGGCTCCTGGTGGGGAGGATCAGGGTTAGGGTCCGTTCTTCCCACCCTCCCCAGCCCTGGGTTTGCATGTCACCAATCTTGACTAGTGTGTGCACCTGTCCACGAGGCAGGACTGTGCCTCCTGCTCAGTTGCACTGTTTCTCCTGATGCACAATGCCTGGGGGGAGTCTGAGTGCTGAGAACCTGGGTCCAATTGTGGTACCTGGGTACAGATGCTCTTGGGGGAACACCGCAGCCTGGGCAGTTGGTGTGCACAACAGAAGGACAGAATGTGGCATCAAAGGGATGTCTGCTGGAAAGCAGGAGCCAGGATGCTGGGCAAGGGGTGGGTTTGGTCCAAGGTGATTCAGGGATCAGGGCAGGGCCCAGAAGGCGTCTCAAACCCACAGCCAGCAGCCTAGAGCCTGAGGTCAAATTTCCCACATCACACATGCTCGCTCCTTCCTTCATTCAATAAAGACACGTTAAGGAGGCAGCGTGGGGAACAGGGCAGATGGCTGGGACTCTGCACGCAGGGTCACCAGTGTGAAAATTAATAAAACGGGAAGTGGTTTAGAAATGGAGTCAGGAAGCCAGCAGGGGGAGCTCCCACGCCCAACAGGAACAGCTGCTTGCTGCAAGTCCGGGCGCTTTAGCTGCTTCAGTTTGCCAGCAGGAGAAAGGTTTTTCTCCTCCTCCAGCAACCACCAGCTAATGAGACTGTCACAGCTCAGCCAATGAAAAGCCACTATACTTCAGACTCCCTGTTTACTCCAAAGGACTTTTTTGGTTTATAACTGTTCCTTCCAAATTCCTCCCTCTCCTCTATAAAAGAGCATTCTGTTCCTTTGTTCTCCCGACTTGCCTGTGGTTTTGCCACATCTTCCCTGTCCTGAATTGCAATTCTCTGCTATTCCCGAATAAACCCATTTTTTTTTTTTGTAAAATAACTGCAAGCTTTATTTTTAAGATTTAAAGCCAGCAACTAATGCAAGAAGAGGGAGTTGTAGCCAGGGACATGCCTGCCAAACTGACCCTGAGGAGTAGAAGGAAGGAATCTGGGGTGCGGGGGAAGGACAGGTACCCGAGAGCAACATGCAAACAGCGGCCTGGAGCTCAGAGGGGGGGCTGGCAAAATGACCAGCGTGGGTGAGAGAGGCATGGTGGGTGTGGGCAGGGACCCAGCTGCTGATGGTGGATGAGCTAGACTGAGCCATGCAGCTTTGTCATGATGGCAGCAGGGAGCCCCTGAAGGGTTTTCAGGAGGAGGGAAGATTATCCGTGAAAGGAAAAAGGGGGAGTCTGGTGGCCACGGCCAGCTGCCAGGCTGACCTGCTCTTGGTGAGCTAAGTTTCTAAGCTGCTGAAGGGACCCCTGAGTTCCTGCCTCTAGGCCTTGGCTCACCTGTCTCTTTTGTCTCTCCCTTTTTTTCCTCTTCAACCCCAACAAGAGCAAGAGCGGGGCAGAAAAACCATGACTGCCTCGGATAGCCTCTCTCAACCTAGAGCAGTGGTGATGGTGTCTCCCAGGGAACCATAAGGTCTGGGGGGAAGGATGCTACAGGCATCGGGTGGGTAGAGGTCAAGGAGGCTGATAGGGTATCTTGCAATGCACAGAGCCGCCCCAAAACAAAGAATTATTCAGTCCCAAAAGTCAACAGTGCCGAATGGGTATGTCCCGAACAGGGCATCCAAAGCACCAAAATGCATGAAGCACATAGTGAGCCAGGCGAACCAGGTGAGTGAGGCTGAGCGAGGCTGCCACCCACAGTCAGACCCAGCGCCTGTGGGGGTGCCCGAATATCCTGATGAGATGTAGGAGGGGCCAAGGGGTGAGCGATAGGGAAGAGGGTGCTATGGTTGGCAGTCAAGGCAAGTCCCTCCCTGGAGATGCTATCTGGAGCTTCGTTGGTAGGTCACCCACGATGTTGGAAGGACGGGCATCGGAGGCAGAGGGGCAGAGAGCGGGAAGGCTTTTAGGTGTGAAGGGAGGCCTGAGGGAGGTGACAAAGCGGATGGCTTTGCTGTCAGCCCCAATGGCAGCAGCACTGAGGGCCTGAAGGGGAGGCTCGGGGTAGGAACCGTGGGGGCTGCAGGGGTTCCAAGGGGAACTTGGAGGTCCGTGCCTGTGCGTTGGGTTGGTGGTGGGACTGGGAAGACGGAGAGAACAGAACTGGGCAAGCCCCTAAGGAGCCTCCTTCCCACGCTCGCGCCGGAGGCCTAGGAATGAGGAAGGACGGCTTCCCAAACGCCCCTGTACAGGAGAAGGGGCACCGCCTTCCGGCCTTGCAGACTTCTACACCCTCCCCGCCTCAGCGGAGGAGCCCGGCTGCGCAGGTGTGCGATGGCGCTGACGCGCAGGCTCCGGACCCACAGGGCCAGCCTAGGGACCCGGGACACCCAGGGGGAGATCGCACGCCTGGTGGCGTATCCGGTCCCGGGAGGCGCGGGGTCTCCTAGGGGAAAGATGGAGCCGGGGATAAGCAGCCAAGGCGACAGGGTCTCTTTCGGGGATGTGGCCACAGGCTGAGAAGGAGGGTTTCAGGCGCGCTTGGCGCCGCTGTGTGGCCGAGGCGGCCGCAGAACGCGCTGCAATCGGGAACTCGCAGGGGTCCCGCCTCCTTGGGAGAGGGCGCGGCTTGGAGCGCGGGGCGGGGCCTCCCCCGCGGAGGGCCACGGTCCTAAGGCAGGGCGGGGCGAGGCCTCCTGAGGAGACGGAGCCGCGGGGGGCGCCGGGCGCGCTTTTCCTAGCAGGGGGCTGGGGGCCTGGGGCAGGGCGGGGCCTCACTAGGAGTGGGCGCGACTCGGAGCGCGGGGCGGGCTTTTCCTAGCAAGGAGGCTCGGATCCTAGGACCGGGCGGGGCCTCCCAAGGAGAAGTCGCGGCTCAGGGCGTCCCAACTTGAGGGTCTGGCTCAAGGGCGCGGGGCGCGGTCTCCCGAGGAGAGGGCGCGGCTCAGGGTGCGAAGCGCGGTTTCTCGGACCGAAGGCGCGGGCCCTGGGGCGAGGCGGGACTTCTTCAGAAGACGCGGCGCGAGGCGCGGGGCGGGGCCTCCCCACGGGAAGGCGTGGCTCAAGGCGTGGGGCGGGGTCTACCGGGGAGAGGGCGTGGCTCAGGATGGGGACGCGCGCCTAGGACGGGACGAGTCTCCCGAGGAGGGGGCGCGGCTGAGCGCGGGGCGGAGCCGGCGGGGCGGGGAGGGGCGGGGCCGGAGGGGAGTACTTAAGCAGCCGCGGAGCGCGCGCACGCCCCGCCATGGCTCTGAGGCGCATCGTTTCTGTGTTGTGCGCCGGCACTCCCCGCCTCGCTCCGCTGTCCACCGCGCCGGCGGCTCGGGAGCAGGCTGCTGCAGGCCCGCAGGCAGTGCCAGGATGCGGGGCCGCTGAGGCCGCGCGGCCGCCGGTGCCCGTCGTGGACTTCGGCAACACTCAAGAGGCGTACCGCAGCCGGCGCAGCTGGGAGCTGGTGCGCGGCTTGCTGGTGCTGCGCCTGTGCGCCTCTCCTGCGCTGCTGGCGCACCACGAGCAGGTGCGCGGGTAGGCAGGTGGGTGGGCGGGCAGGTGGGTAGGTGCGCATCGCGGCGCGCAAGCAGGGGCACGCGCCGGATCCTCTGTGTGTTCCCGGAACCTTCATGAAGTTTTACTGTAGAGCGGGAGCCCCTTGAGCATCGCTGGTAGCCGAGAAGTCAGGAAGGGAGTTGTTTCCTGCATTCCCTTTTGGGTGTCGTGAATTTTCCTGTATGCCAGTTACCACTAACTGAAAACGAAGACCAGTTTCTGAATTTTTAAGCTATATGCTGCTTGCAGTAATGCATAGTTGCCACCTGAAATTGAAATGGAGTGTCTTCCATGTTGCCCAGACGGAAGTCTTAGTGGTATTGAAAGGCTCATGGCCTGGGAACTCCGAGTTCTCAGAAGATGTGACTAGACAGAGCCGTTCGGAACAGTGTTGGGGAAAATGGGAAGTTACTTGAACTACAACTTTTATTACTTCAACATAGTAACTTGTGAAAAGTGTGAGTGCTTTGGGGAAGTAAAAAGAACCGTCTCAGCCACTGTCAGTCTGGACGTGTGGGAAAGACAGTTTTTCAAGGTGATCCTGGGAACAGTTTGTAAGGGTGCAGTTGTTGGTGCTAAGGGTCTGGAAGGCTCTTCATGTGGGTGGTGGCGATTTCTCAAGTGAGACTGTGCTGAGTGTATGGTACTGCCTTCCTTGGCCCCTGGAGGAGGCTGGGGAGGCCGGTCCAAAGAAGAGCACCAAGTCACACTTCAGGCTTAGGTGAAGGTGAAACCACGGTGGGTGGGAGGTGAGGGTACAGTCCACAAAGTCAGAGTCGGGAGGGGTCTGAGGGGACTGTGAGGCCAGCGGAGTGTTGGACTGGGTCTCCAGAAGTTTTACTCAGATGCAGCCTGGGACTGATGGTGGGAGGGGAATGCAGAGGAGCAAGGGGCCGAACTGGAGATGTGGAGGCTCCTGGGAAGCCATCTGTGTTTGTGATAGACTTGGATGCCCTGTGGCAAATTTGTGGCTGTGGAGTGCCCAGGCCAACTGGAGAGGAGGATGGAAAGTGACACTCAGGGGTCAAGGAACCTGGTGGGGGGGTGAACGTGATAAGAACCCTTTGGGGAGCACCAACGTCTGAGGGGCAGCCTGAAAGGAGCAGCAAGGTCTAGAGGTGCAGTGGTCAGGAGGGAGGAGGCAGCTGGGGGGGCGGGAACGACTAGGGGAGGGAATGGCTGGCTATGAGGTCTCTGTGGAGGGCAAGGACAGGGACCTGGCTCCTGCGGTCGGGCATAATGGGACTGCTGGGTGGGACTGGGATGCGTGGGGCAGGAGTGGTGCAGGAGCCCCGCCTACCGCCATGTGGCTGGAAGGGAGGGAGTGAAGGCATGGAGCCAGCCAGGCCCTATTTCTCCCATCTCAGCACCGAGCTTGCTTTCTTGGGATCAAAGCCAGAGGAGAAGCCAGCAGAGCTGGAGACCATCGGGTACTGTGGGTGACCACTGTCCAAGTGCCAGCAAGTGCTGGGGTGCAGGGACCACCATGGGTGCTGGGAGGCATGGAGGCTTCTCCCAGCCTTCCCTCCTGTCCCACCTGTGTCCTGAGGACGCCTTCGGGGAGCCCACTAACGGCGCTCTGTGTGCCCCCTGTGGGACCTGTTCCACCACAACATTGCTAGTGGTCACACTGGTGTCAGTGGCCTTGGTGCGTGGCACTGGAGGAAATGGGGAAATGGGGCAGGGGCCCGGCTGCAGGGTTGTGGGCTGCTCACCAGAACCAGTACTTACCTTGTCCTCTGGCCTGGGGTGGAAATTCCTCCTGCTGAGCAGTGCGGGTCTGTGCAGCACTTGCGGGGGCAGTTGGGGATCATCAAATCTGTTCCCCGGGAGTGTCAGCCTGAAGGAGCCCTGTTTGAGCTGCTGAATTGGTTTGGGACCCAGTAGGGTCCCTTCCTTGCCAAAAGATAAGGGTTTAGAAAACTCAGGTCTTCCATGACAAAGGCTTCTGTGCTTGGGTGTAGGCCAGTGCAGAAGGGAGTAACAGAAGAGGAAGAGGACAGGATGGATGGTGATGGTGGCCTTGGGGGACAGGGAGGAGAGAGAACTGGCTTTACCCCTCCTTGCCCTGCACACATCTGTTTGAGTCTTTTACAGTGGAAACAAGTATATGTGTTCGTGGGGCAAGTTTCTAAACCCACGAAGGATGCCCCCACCTGGAGAAGAGTGGGGGCTGCCTTCATCTTAGGCCGTGCTACCCAGGGATACACCTGATGCCAGGATATTTTTCAAGGGGTGGCTTTGCTCTGGAGTTAGCTTTAGAATTGCCAGTCCTGCCCTGTGTGCTTCCATAGCCCTCTCTGATGGGCTGGCTTCCTTTTGCCAGAGTGAGAGGGTGAGTGACCGGCTCGGTGACCCGGGTGGCCTTGCCTGCCCTCCCCTCCGAGCCCCGCCTCCCCTTGGGGAGCTGGTCAGTGCGAAGTGCAGGCTTTGTGGGAGGTTACCAGCCCAGGACTCCCCTGGGCCATATTCCACCTCTGCCTTGCTCCTGCTTCTTTGATTAACGTTGACTGTGGCTACTTTCGTGCTTCACGTGCAGGGTTGAGTAGTTACGACTGTGACCACGTGGCCTGTGCAGCCTACGTTATTTACCGTGTGGCCCCGGGCAGGAAAATTTGCTGGCCTGAGAGTAGATGGCTGGCCCCTTTCCACATGCAGTGGTTCCTGACAGTTCTCAGAGCTGACCCGTTCGATGTCAGGGGTTTTCCAGAGCCAGATGATGGTTTTCAGGTGTCCGATTCTGCCCCACCTACCCCTGGGGTGATCTTTGATCTAATCAAGATCTGGCTTTTCCTCTAGCAAGGCCGCTCTGGTCCATAGATTCCCTGACTGGAATCCGCTGGCCCTGGCTGTGTGGGGCCAAGGCAGCCTGCCCCGTTCTCCCTTGTCAGGCTTTCATTTTCCGTTTCTCATCCTCTTTATAAAAACAATGAGATGCAATGAAGCCAGGTGCTGCAGAGAGGCTGTGGCAAGGCAGAGGGGATGACCCAGAGACCCTTGTCCTCTGGACGCCCTGCGGTGCCCCCACCAAGCACCAACCTGTGATTCTAGGTATGTCTCCCTTCTGGCCAGTGTGGGGCTGCTCGGGATTGGTTTGGGGTTGAAGGTGTTTGATTTGCTCATACTTCTGCTTAGATTAGAGATTGTTCCCTGCAGCCCTGATCCCAAGAGATGTTCCTCACAAAAGGGGCTCTTCTATCCATTGGGTTTGACAGACCTCAGGCTTCTTCTGTCTTGGAGCTAAGTGTGGGGGACAGTGGACACACAGGAATTCCCAGACAGGTGGCAGATATGCCCTCCCAGCAGCCTTCCCTTCTAGCCTCAGGGGACTCCACTGTCCTCATTCCTTCCTGCCCTGGCTGTCGCACTGTAGGGACTCCATGCCACCTCCATGCCTTGGCAAGCCACCTCCCCGCCGGATCTAAGTTAGCAAACATCTCCCACCCATCACTCCCTCACCCCTGTTCTGAATCACTTTGTGGAGGTGCCTTGCTCTCTCCCCTGCTAGGATGTAAGCTCCTTATCAGTTTTGTTTAGCCTAGAATTGTACTGGGCACAAAGCAGCAGCTCAGGACTTGGAATGAGTGATGGCAGAAATTGGGGATGTGGCAAAATGTGATTGGAGGAGAAAGCTGAGTGGTTTATGGGCAGCTGTCTTCCCCCGGGGCACGTCCACTCGAGCTGTGGGTCTGCTGTGGCCCTGGATGACTGTACTGAGTCCCCACTGGTCCCACAATGGGCTCTCATCTGACAGACTCTGTAGATGCTCACCTGGCTTATTGTTAGCCTAAGGCTTGCTCCAGCTGAAGTTAGACTCCTTCTGAATTTAGCATGTGTTCATCTGCTCAGCAGCCACTGGAGGGCCGGCCCCTTGCCAGGCACTGTTTGAGGGACTTGGAATAAGCAGTGAACAAAACATTGAGAAATCTGGGTGCTCGCCTGCCAGAAAGTTGTACCAAATCCTCCTCCTAGCCGGCATAACCCACTGAGGTGTGGACACAGAGAATGTTATGATGAACACACCTGCTGCTATTCCTAGAGAGACGTGCTATTCATTTCTTTATCCATCAAGTGATGGTCGGGCAGCCACTGTGTGCCACTGGGGTCACCTGTGAGTGTGCAGGGCAGGGAGGTGAGTGGCTGTTGGCGGGGGCGGGGGGTGGGCACTGGGACCTCTGCCCTTCATGAGGAGTGGATTGACAGTAGCTACAGGCTGAGAAGCAGGCTGCTGCCAGTGGTGTCCACTGTTAAACCAAGGCCGGGAGTCGGGTTTGGCCCTGGGGAGGAGAGTGTGTCAAGGCTTTATGGCTGGAGCGAAGGGGGCGGGGGAACAAGGGTGTCCTGCTGGGGACAGGGGAGGCCGGGCAGCCAGGACAGCCCCTTCCTTCTGTCTTTCAGCTGCTCCATCTCACCAGGAGACTTCTGGGGCAAAGGCTGTTCGAAAAGCTGATGAAGATGACCTTCTATGGGCAGTTTGTGGCCGGCGAGGACCAGGAGTCCATCCGGCCCCTGATCCGGCACAACAGGGCATTCGGAGTGGGCTCCATCCTGGACTACGGGGTGGAAGAGGATCTGAGCCCTGAGGAGGCTGAGCGCAAGGAGATGGAGTAAGGCCCACCTGGGCATCTGGTCGCCACCCCAAAGCGTCCTGGGGCCAGCTGGGGCTGGGCTGGGAGGAGGCCCCCCAAGGCTAGGAGAGCTTGGTCAGCCTGCTTACCAGCGGCCCTCCTGGGTTCTGCCTGGGGTTCTTGCAGTTTTGTTCTGTGAGAATGACAGCTCTGGGCTTTCACAAAAGGTCTTGTGTGCACAAGGCTGGAGGAGGGGCAGGGATTGGGGACGGGAAACTACAGTCCACAGCCCAGTGTGGCCCACCTGCCTGGTTTTGTGTGGTCTGCAAGCTGAGATTGGTTGATACTTTTTTTAAATGGCTGAAACAAAACAAGAATAATATTTTGTGATATGTGAAAAGTATATGAAATTCAAATCACCTTTGCCCTAGAGGGGCAGAGTTGAGTAGCTGTGGCAGGTGCCGTATGGCCCACAAGGCTGAAGATAGATGCTACCTGAGCATTTACAAAAGATGTTTGCTGACCCTGGTGTAGGAGGTGCTGTGGCTTCCTGATGTGCTAAAGCATCTCTTCAGAGGGGTTGCTAACCTGCTGGACAGGGGCCCACTGCCTCACCCTTGCCTAGCTCCT